GCTTTTTTTTTTTTTTTTTGTAAGGAAAAAAAAGGAAGAAATACATACATAAAAATGATTGTTTAGTAGAAGTAATTAGGCTTAAGCTAGGCTGCGGAATTAAATATCTTGTAGTATAGCTGTTTCTGAGAGGGAAGGAAGGTTTGGGTTCTGTTTGGCATTGGCTGCGTTGGTCCTGTTGGAGTGTCAGATAATTGGTCTCCGGTTTGGCCGGGACCGTAAGCTAAACTGGCTGATGCTGCCAGGATAACTCCGGGTAGAATTGTGAGGTCCCCGGCCTCAAGGATTGTTTGTTTGGAATATAATATCGCTCGTTTCAAAAAAAAAAAAAAAAATTCCGTCTGAAAAAAAAAAAAAAAAGATTGNTGTGTGTGTGTGTGTGTGTGTGTGTGTGTGTGTGTGTGTGTGTGTGTGTGAAAACAACTGTATGGTATCCTCAGCAGCACAGAGACTGTGCACCATACCAACACAATACCTCCGGATGGAAAAAAGCATCTCAGCATACCTCGCTGATCGGCAGGGCGCTCGTGATGAACAGTGCAGTCCTGGCCTCAATCTGGTACAAAACTGCATTCTGGGAAATCCCAAAGAAGCAGCTGGCTCAATTATGAATGGCCGTGACGGCCTATTTATGGAAAAATGACCACGACCAAGCAAAGTGTATAAAGAGGGTGGCTTGGAAGTACATCACTCAACCAAAAAAAAGGTGAGGGTTGGGCATTTTAGACCCGGGGGATGAGATAAGGCTTGACATCAGATCTGTGGAAAATTACCTCGGACGCTGGACCCGCTTTCCAACAAGTGACAGGATGCGATTCATCTGGGTTATCAGACATCTAGTGGATGGGACGCTGGACCCGGTCTCCAGCTACAGCCATTTCTGGGATAAGGCCCCAGCCAGTTCCGGGTAGAATTGTGAGGTCCCTGACCTCTGATACCTTGATTTATAAAAAGCATACGTTGTCCCCTTAAAAAAAAAAAATAAAAAAAAAAAAAAATGGAAAATGTGAGGAATTGGCGTGACATTTATTTCACGATCCAATTACTTGTATTTTTTTTTATGATACTTTTCCTTGAAAGATCACAATCTAACCTGCGCTCGGATTTCATCTTCGTCCGTTTTTCCCTGTGTCATCTTGTCCTAATGGTGTTGTGATTACTCTGTGTCTTTTTTTTTTTTTTTTTTGAAATGCAACCCGAGGCAATGCTAGGGGTGCTGGTGAAAGCAGGCACCACTAGCATTCTCTGGGTGGCTCCATCTATTGGTGGGGAGCAGCACCTGCCGGGAAATGGGTCCGGCGTCCCTTTATACTAAAAGAGCCAAAATTGCATTGTTGCACTGTTGCGTTTGTCTTCCACTGTACTGCATGTCTAAATGAGGCTGGGTCTGCACACCCCACGGGTAAGGAGCTTTCACTACCTTCTGAAAAGCCCAGCCTCGCAGTCACCTTCTTCTTGTCCGGTGTGAACCTGTTATTGATGGCAGGCTAACTGCTTCTAAGTTTGTTTTGCCGGCACGTACTACCCTATTGTATTGTTCCTGCCTGTACTATATTCCCCAGAGCATTCTGTTCACCACATTAGAAGGTATCAGTTGCCTTTGGTTGTCCGCCACCACAACGGGCTCAACCCTATCTGTGACTATTTGTCATCGCATACTTCATAATGGACTATTCACAGCAGTAGAAGGTGTTTGTTGCTGTTAGTTGTTCGTTGTTGTTGCCGCCTTCCAGTTGTTCTATGGTTCTCTTCCCGTCCCTGCACCGACAGAGATGCCGCATTCGTACAGATGAGGATGTCATAAAGCTTGTGATACGCAACCTCACGCCCCCTCGCAGCTTCCCGTATGGGGTCGCCGATCAGAGTTCTAGGAGGGGCGTGGCCGAGGATTTTTGGCCGTAAGGGTTGAGTCTCCCGGACGGAACGGGAGGCCCTCGTTTCGTGCCAGAGGTTTTCCCCGGAGTCGAACTGTCGTCGCGGAGTCCCGTGGGGGTCGGATCACTCCGAAACGATAAACTCAAAAAAGGTTTCCGCAAAAATAAACTGCCGTCATGCATCGGGACGGAAAAAGGCATCAAGGGGAGACGGCCATGGCGGCGGAGGATGAAACTTCGGCCGTCAGGGGTTTGGGGGATAGGTGGCGGGTTTGAAGCCTTCAGGCCTCATCATCGGCCTCACAAAGTGGCCGAACCCTTGAGTCTTTGCTGCGGAGGTGGTTGGTTCGAGGCCTTCAAGCCTCGGCGTCGGACTCACAGAGTCCGCGCGAAAGTTTCCAGGAGGGTAAGGCGGCGGGAGGACTCGCCGGCATCTGAATTCGAAATTGCGCGGGCAGCGCCCCCGCACCACGGGAAAGCTCGGGGAAACATGTCGCTCCCTCGTAACCCAGGACCAGTCGTCGCCAAGAACACGAGTCCCCCTCGCGACACCAGTGACAATCAAACTGCGGCTGCCACTCGGCGTGAGCGACCGACCAGGGCAACACCGTCAAACTCGTATAAGGCAATATTAAAGTCGGGGAATCAAAACGATCAATCAAAACAAACCCGTTCCCCCTTATCTCACAAGCTCGAGGCTGGTCCTGCCAACACACTTGCTCCGTCCGCCTCAGCGCGCGCCGTACGTCCGCATCGTATCGTCATCTGCGATGGGGAAGGTCGGTAGCGAGATGAGACGATCGGAGGTACGTGATGAACACGGGCAAGGTCCCGCGTTCCCGGTCATCCGAACCAACACCGAATCCATACAACAGTCGTTGCAACTCCTCTCTCTTTGAGGTGGGTGCGTCAAGGGAAGACGACAAAGTCTAAGCTCTCTCCCCTCGCGGGGGTGTCGACCGTCCGCTCGGACGCAAGCGGTTGACGTCACCGGTACGGGGGCGAGAAGCTCCAAAAGCGAAGACTATCAGTTCAAAAAGGAAAGCATGAGAGAGAGAGAGAGAGAGAGAGAGAGAGAGAGAGAGAGAGAGAGAGAGAGAG